TATTCGGATCATTCGTGGACGTTAAATTCGAAGATGCGGTACCTGAAGCTATTTGTAACGAATGTGATTCGTCCATGGATATTGATACTGAAGATTCTTTAACCGAAGGTGTATCATACGTGGATTTTGCAAGTGAAGATTCTCTAACTGAAAATAGTTCTGCCAAACGTGACTCGTCCGTGGACGTTGAAGCTGAAAATTCATCCGTCAAAGACATTTCGAATAAATGTGATAAATGTATGGTTGTTGAAGATCGAAACCGCGAAGTTTTTAGGGACTGTGGTCCTCTCAATCCGTATGCTCGAAAATGGCACTTACTGCAAAGCGTATCACCTATCTTCAGCTTTTTCCCTAGGTTATTCGAAAACCGTACAGATTGTTCCACCGTGTTTACACGTGTTTTTTGGCCACTCACGCTCCGGAGGAATTTATTACAATATATGCACCTAATGTTCACAGTTTTTTTATTAACAGACGCTTCGTTGCTACCGGACATTTTGCAAATATTGTCAATATACAAAACTGAAAATAATTGTAATCAAATACAGAAGTTATTGAACTTGAATGAAGTCACGCAAAGCGACTGCGACGAGCAATGTTTGGAATTTTGTCCAACACTGACTTTCTTTCCTACGCGATCGTGCGACGTGTTGTGATCTCTTCAGCAATACTTTTCAGAAGTAGGAGAGAATATGGATGCGTTCCTATTGGTAGGTAAAGCAGTATCCCCTCCCAATTAGCTGGTACCAAAGAGCAGGCGGCTTTCATACGACCGCCTCACATACTGTCAATCCTTGTTACGTTGCTATTCCTGCTACGTAATAGCTCGGCTTATGTGCTGTACAATACTAGAGTTAGATAATATTCGAAACGGTTTATTTATCTAAAATAATTGTTCCAACGATTTTTTTTCAGCCGAATATTTTGTTCGAATAACGGTTATTCATTATTTGTAACAAATTATTCTATTTATTTATTTTTATAATTCTTTTTTCCTTATTCGAATAAGTTATTCGCGCGAATAGAGATTATAATATTATTCGAATAATTATGTGAACAATTGTTACATTACCTTGACATAACCGTTTTTGTTTTTATGCAATTCTGCAAGAATATATTTATATTATATACAATTATATTATATTATAATTATATTATAATTAAATTTTTTAATTATATTTATATTAAAATTGTTAATTAATTATATTTATATTAAAAAATTGTATTAATTATATTATATTATATGCAAATAACCTTGCATTTTTATGTTTATATAATTCCAAATCAGTTGAACTTCCACTTCTCTACAGACGATATTGTATGTGTATACGAACAACAGCACGTAGAAAGATTATTTAGTTATGCGTTAATGACGAGTCTATCCAAAAGTAGCGAAATTCTTTCAATGCAACGCTTGAAAGAAAGTTAATGATGAAATTAATTAATAAACGTGAAAAATGAAAAGAAAACATTTTATATTCTATCATTTTTATTTAAATCGACTATTTTACGAATGAGTTACTATATGAATAAATTTATATTCGAATAAATACTTATTCGGATAAATTTATATCTGGATACAAATTGGTTGGACAATGTCAATATAGAGGCGACTCATAATCGACTATCGACAGTTGGTTTAAATTTTATATGTGTTCCACATGAAACAATAACGTCTTTGTCATGGGCAAGGTAGTCGTTACTTTTAGGCGCTCAACAGATATGCATACACACGCACATACATCTCGGCGATCATACCGAATCAACGTATTTTGCTTACAATTGTATTCATTAGTCTTTATCTCTTATCCGTCAATCGAATAAAATTTTGCTCAAATCTGATAGGTACATAGACGGCCGTAGTACCAATAATTATCACTAAAAATGAAATAACTCGAACAATAATGAAGTTTTCGAGCTGAAATTTATAAATATTGCAAATTGTGTGCACGATATTAAAATCGGACTTTTCAATCCGATTTTTATCACAAGAAAAAATGTTTTTATTATAAAAAAATTAGCTGGCAAAATAATTTGCACATATGTAATTCTAATTAGTAAAGGAGTAGAGAATGCTATCGAAATTCGTATTTTCTCTTGAGCGTGAACAGTGGAATATCTCGGAAGAAATTGAAGTTATAAAAAAGATGTTCATACAAAAGTTGTTTGGTTGGACGCGGCACATCACTTAGTATTAATAGTTCTTTTTGCTACTGGAGAAATGAAAGAGATTTTAAGGTCAACTCAATTTTTTTACACGATGTTATTCTCACAGTTCGTTAAATAAATAAATAAATAAATTAATTAATTAAACAGCATAGAGCCGTATCGCAATCGTAGTCGTTTGAACGGATGCAGCACGTAAGCACAAGCTAACAAATTACTTTTATCGAACTCGGAATGACATCATATAGTACCTTTTTGGATTTTCCGAATACCAGTTCTTATAATTCTCACTTCTGCATTCACAAAAAACTATTAACACTAGATGATGTCTCCCGTCCGTGTCCCACTGAAATTATCGACAATGACATTGACCGATAACATATTACATTTTAATGATTAACGTTTACGACACATTTACTTGTACAAGTTAATATTTTTATTCAATTAGCATAAATATGTTAATATTTTTGTTATATTGTTTAATCTATTGCCTCTTTCTCTATTCTTAACACTTTATCGACCGCTAGCCTATTAATCGGCTTTTCGATTGCCAATGCTTATCGACCGATAGCCTATTAATCGGCTTTTAGCTATCGACGGTTTTCGTTTCTTCACTGTTTTGTTAGTAGCTGTATACTAACCTCTCCATATCCTTATGAATTATGATATTTTGTACCCTTTACAATGGATAAAGATCGTGCAGACGAAGAGTTTTGCTTAGATACTTTGTTAGACCATAGCAGGTATTCAGAAAGTGACAGTGATGGTGAAAACAGTGATTCTTCTATAAACATTCGCAAGCCGCGCAAATATACAGGGTGTCCCAAAAATGTCTCGCAATCAGAAAGTGGCGGGTTCCTCAGGTCGTTTGAAGCAATTTCTTCCTTTACAAAAATTTTCTCCGAGGCACCGTTAACGAGTTATTAACGAAAAACAGTGACCAATGAGAGGCGAGCTCAGCTGGCGCTAGGCGGCCGAGCCAACAGCGCCCAGCGGTCGAGGCGGTCGAATCCCAGCTCAGCTGGCGCGAGGCGACCGAGCCAATGAGCGGAACTGGGCTTCGCGCGCTGGTTGCCTGGGCCGCCTCGCGTCAGCCGTACTCGATTCTTATTGGTCACTGTTTTTCGTTAATAACTCGTTAACGATGCCTCGGAGAAAATTTTTGTAAAGGAAGAAGCTGTTTCAAATGATCTGAGGAACCTGCCATTTCCGGATTGCGAGACATTTTTGGGACACCCTGTATATATATATATATTCTATTACTTTGAATATATTTTATGAATACTAGTTTATAAGGCCCTTTATTATATAAAATAAATGCAAAATAAAGTATAAATATCAATAAAATTACATTCCTTTGAAACAAAAGGAATAAGCAGAACACAATGAATAGCGAAAATTTAGCCGGTACTGGGAGCAAATGCGCGCGCGACTAAGCCAGTCTTTACTGAGTGGCAATCTCAACCACGACCGGTCGATAAAGTGTTAAAGCATATTATTTTTTAATTATTGTAATTATTATATAATAAATATAAATATGGCGGCCACGGCGACGGGCACGGCGCTACACTAAATAAACAAGAGACGCAGGGACGTAAACAGCGGCCGACCCGCTGTCGCCAACGGTCGAGGAAAATGGTACATACATCGGGTGTCATTTCCTCAGATGGCTGAACGACGAACGACGAGGCCTGAATTTTGAGTCAGTTGAATGTTGACTCTCGAGCAAACGCGTTAAATATACGATTTTCAATTATTCCTTCCGACTCCCACAATAAAATATTGTAATTACTGTATTATGTAATTATAGATCATTTTGAGCAGAAAACATATTACTTATACATCTATTTGTATATTAATAATAGATGCATCAGTAATATATTTTCTGCTCAAAATGATCTATAATCACATGTTTTTCCACTATTATCAACCTATCCTGCCACTCCTTATAAAAAGGAAAAGATGTAAACAAATCTGATAATAATGTTGTCGGTCAATGCGTTATCGGTGTTTGTACTTGTAAATAATACCTCAATTCTTTGGACTGCAACATTTTTGTTTCAAATGCTTTCTTTGTGAAAGAATTGACCGTCCCAGAGGACTTTTATTTTTGCAGTATTCAATATTTTAGGACGTTTTCACACATGCTTACGTTTAGCAAGTGTCGATGACCATGCTTTTTGTTGTTTTATAATAATTATATTTCTTGCATCGATTGTTCCGGTTCTGTCGTTAAATTACAACTATGGTTTTTATTACGTAAAATCTCTTCGAACGATGGTGTATAAATAAAGAATGTCACAATAATTTTTGGTACTTTTCCCAATTGTATTTTGTCTTTCAAATTACAAATGCAATATAATTTAATTTAATCTCTATACAGGGTGGGCCATTACATATTGCCATCTAGATTTACGTCATTATTATTACGCGTAGCGAAAAATGTTTCAGATGAAATCACAACTTGTTGGACATTGCAAAATTATCGTAAGACAAGTAAAATAATAAAGATACGCGTCAAGATTGAAATCACTTGATAGAAATCATTTTAATATTTGAGCCGTTTATTTTGAAAGTGGCATAAGTTACTTTACCGTAATGAAAAGTGATGATTTTTTAATGTTTATACGAAATTATTTATACTGAGAAAAATATCAGTATCCTGAGATAACAAATACAAGTAAATCTTCTCGAAAGTTAGCATCCATATTTTTAAACGTGTTAAAACGCAAACCCTTAAATATATCGACTAAAAAACAAAGTGACTTATGCCACTTTCAAAATAAACGGCTCATTTGTGTAAAGTTATTATACAATTTTTGTTATTGTTTCAGGCTTATGCTAAATTTAATGGTATACCTATAAAAGTAAACACTTCTGGTAACCCCTACAATACGCCACGCGGTCGGTTACCTGTATTGCGTATAAACGATAGGAATCTTGATACGGTCAAAGAAATAATACTTTATTTTCAAAAAAGACAATGGAACTCGGAAATCGAATTGGATCCAAAAGAGTGCGCGCTTATTATGGCATATAACGAATTACTAAAGGAGAAGTTACTTCCGGCTTTACAATTTATTTGGTGAGTACATATTTTCGTTGTAATTGAAAAATCGTGTGGTATAAACAAAGTATACAGTTCGAAACGTTCACATTTTTAGGTGGATAGATAAAAAAAATGTAGATGATTTAATAAGACCATGGTATAGTAAAGCACTGCCTTTTCCGCTAAATTTTTATTATCCCGGGAAATATGAGCGACAGTCACGTGCTTTATTTGAGTGTTTGTATCCTACCGAAGATAATATTACTGACATAGAAAATAAGGTAAAGGTTCTCTTTTGTAATTGAACTAAATCTCGTTAGAACTGTAATGGTTAGACTATTGTACTTTTAGTCCATAGATTTATGAATATTCTCATGTACATGATACGGTTGGAATGCAATTTTACGTAACAAGGTAAACTACGTGAAAATGCGAACCGAAAGTTAACGAATTAAAAAAGCTTTAAATCGAAACTATCATATGGTGGTGTTCAATCACATTTCAATATTCCAAGTTTAAAAGAAAGGAACTAAAGATCTTCAAAATATTTTATATCAAAAATATCACAAATGTAATGCAACAAATTTGTATTAATGAGCGTCGTATTTCATATTACTGAAAGTTTACCAATTTAGCGATACTGCTTTTTGAAAAATATTTGACACATAGTTCTTTATATCTGTAACAATCTAGGTTTTCAAGTCTACAATGTTAAAAATATATTTTTTTGAATTATGAACTAATTTCTTGAAAACTGAAGGAAGTTGGCTAATTATTTTAAATTGTCTGTTTCGAATAAGAAACTTAATCGCATAAGAAAATTCGAGAGAGAATAATTTATTTAAATAATATCTTGAACAATTGAGACATTTCAAAGTACATTTTGTGAATTACTAATTCGTTTTCTACAATAAATTCGAGCGCGCGCGCATGCGCGTATTCTCGTGTTTGTAGGAAAGTCGTCAAAGAATTGGTTTTATATTTCTGTAGTAAGAATGCAGGGTGTCATATAACTGGCAGCACAACCGAATAGTAACTGATTCTACGTCAAAAAGCAAGTCAAAATCATAGAATAAATATTTTGCGTTAGGGACTTCGTTTTCGAAGAAAAAACACGACTTTAGAAATCTGCTCGGTACATGTACATTCGATCTACTTAACGGATAAAATTGTAAGTTGTCTTTAACTTTGAAAACCATTGCCGCATTTGTAGACATCGTCGGTGTTACCAGTTTTTCTATTATTTTGTAACATGATCTCCAAACTACTGATCTGTCACCGCTAGATTTTGATACAGTGGACCACAGAAATGCTCGTACACCTTTTGAAACGCAATAACTATTTTAAAACTGAACTAACTCACTTGAATTCTTTTTAGATAATAGAGGGACTAGTCTACTAGACGATGACTGAAATGTTTTTCTTTTTTTTTAAATTTTGCTATTACTTGGAATGACAAAAAAATAAAAAACTCTTTTTTTATTTGAACCTACAACAAAAATTCAAAAAATGCCTTTCGTGGATCTTGATAACTTATATACATGTTGAAAATTTTATCGAAATCAGTTCATGTTGTTATGAGTTACAACAAATTAAAGATCGCAAAAATCGCAGTTTTATCACGATTTTGACGAAAAACTGTAAGAAATCTGCAGTTTTTAAAATCCTTCAACGCCTTCAGCACGCATATAAATTACTGAGATCTACAAAAGGCATTTTTTAAATTTTCGTTATAGGCTCAGATAAAATAATTAAAAAGCAAGAGTTTCTAATTCTTTCTTTTCATTCCAAGTAATAACAAAATTAAACAAAAGCTTTTTAGCCGTTGTCTAGTAGACCTAGTCCCTCTATCATCTAAAACAAAAAATTTAAGTTATTTAGTTCAGTTTTGAAGAATTTATTGTGCGTTTTAAAAGGTGCACGAGCACTTTTGTGGAACACTGTATGTGAACGTGTATGTTTATCGCGTATAGTGTATATCGTCGAAATACCGAATATTGAACAGTTAAAAGAAAGGCTTGTCATAGCGTTTGGAAAAAAATGTGTTGCAAAGCAACACTTTAGAAAACGTATGTAGAAAAATTAGAAGAGCACCATTATTGTAAGATACGTCGGGCACATCATTTTCAACAATATTTCCGTTAAAACTTAAAATTAAATAAGATTTATCTCGATGTTTTTTGAAAACAAAGCCAACAATAAAAAAAATTTATTCCATATTTTCGTCTCATCTCTTTACGTAGAATCAGATTTTATTCGGTTGTACCACTAGTTACGTAACACCAATCAATGCGCTATTTAAACTTCTACCATTCTTCTGAATTTTTTCACGTTTATAAATTTTTAACTTAAAATTTGGGAAAGAATCTTAGAAAGAAATCTGAACAATTGGCGTTTAATTGAAGTTCATCTATTCAAGGTGTTCCATAATTACGTTGATACTCAGAAAGGGGTGATTCCTCAGGTCATTTGAAGTAACTTTTTCCTTAGCGAAAGTTTTCTCCGAGGCATCGTTAACAAGTTATCAACGAAAAACACTGACCAATGAGAGGCTAGCTCGGCTAGCTCGGCTAGCTCGGCTAGCGTGAGACGGCCGAGCCAATGAGCGGAACTGGGCTCCGTGCGCTCGTTGACTCGGCCGCCTCACGTCAGCCGAGCTCGCCTCTTATTGGTCACTGTTTTTTGTTAATAACTCGTTAACGATGCCTCGGAGAAAACTTTCACTAAGGAAAAAGTTACTTCAAATGACCTCTGGAATCACTTCTTTTCGGGTTTTAACATAATTATAGAACACCCTGTATATATATGTATGCCCGTCCATGCCGTCAGGTGAGAAATCTTTCCTGTTTCCAATACACATATGTTCACGTATTTCCGAGTCTCGACCGTATGATAGATGTGACATTTTCGCGAATCTGTAATCATTTACTGATAGTCTTTTGAAAGTGTGCTTTCAATTTTTGTAAAAGCTCCTTAAATAAACTATCGTTATCTCTTTTCACCGTTCCATCATATAAACTAGCACAGTAAAATTTCACATTCATATGTGATCTAACGATGTCCTATATGAACCACAAAATCAGTTTACTCATAATAATATAACTGACATATAACAAATACATTACTTATTGCAAGTAGTTTTTATATTTTAACAATATTTTCGTTGATTCAATAAACTTATCGGGGAGGTTCCTTCTAGAGAGAAATTTTATACCAAAAATCAATTACAATGAAATAACTGCGTGTCTTTAATCAATTCTATTGCACTCGATGTTGTAGGAAAGAAGTCGGTGAAATGGTTTTTTAAGAATTTATGTTTTCCTATCTTCAAGTCTGTCAGAGGCTGGGGAAAATTTGTTTGCTTTCAATATTTTTCCGGCTCGATGACTCCTCCTGACATGTATATAGGGTGACCCAAAATTATTGTACAAGCGAAAAATGAGGGGTTCCAGAGGTCATTTGAAGTAACTTTTTGCTTAGCGAAAGTGCAATTCGCGGCTTCGTTTACGAGTTATTAATGAAAAACAGTGACTAATGAGAGGCGAGATTAGCTGGCACGAGGTGGTCGAGCCAACGAGTGGTTGAAGCTCAGATCCGCTCATTGGCTCGGCCGCCTCGCGCGCCAGCTGGGCTCTCTAATCGGAGAGCGAGGGCGGGGCGTCTACTACTGATCTCGCCTCTCATTGGACACTGTTTTTCGTTAATAACTCATAAACAAAGCCGAGGATTGCATTTTCGCTAAGGAAAAAGTTATTTCAAATGACCTCAGGAACTCCTCATTTCCCGTCTGTACAATAATTTTGAGACACCATGTATACAGGTATAATGCCGTAACGATACGATTTGAATGTTCTCTATGTTTTGTTCCTTATGTGTGAATCCCAAATGGCACTAGTGAAACGGCGTTATTAAATTTATAGCACGTGTGTTCTCTAATGTGTTCTCTATTCTGGGTGTATGAAATGTTTGAATGTAGGAATGCTTGTCTTTCTATGTGTTGGTGATGATGATGATAAAATCCTCGTTTTACTTATATCTGCCGTAACGCAATGTTTAATCTCGCATAACTTTGTTAATATTCATACAGATTGAATGAACCAAAGAAAATATTAAAGTTTATACTCCCTACATTTTAATTCTTTATATTATCTCTATAGTAATCGTTGTCTAAAGCGTAAAATCGGGGTATAAGGATGTATGTTAATTTGGAAGAATTTCTTGATATTAATTAACCACTATAATCTATAAATATTTGTTTACGTATGAATTGGTTAAACAGACTAAACTTCATTGAAAGGAAATGTTTTTAACACATGGATGTGTAAAAAAATAGATATGACATTAATATTATAATGACTATTTATTTAGTAACTAAGAAAATGGCTTTAATATCGAACAATTAAACGGAATAGCAAATATAAATAAATCGATACACAAATAAATTAAGAAATAAATAAATGGATAGATACACAAATAATAGACAATAAACAATAAACTTCAGTCTCAGTAACATAAATAACATTAAAAACTGTAGTCTTCGAGAGTTGATAGACGTAATTCGTCATCTATTCCTCTACGACATGATAGTTTGATGATTATATCTGCAATCATACAAAGGGCTTAGCCGATTAAAATGGTCAAAATTGCCCTTAGAGATTTTTTAATGAGTATTATACTGTTCGATAGCTGACCAAGAAAAACTCGTCTGTGCAAAATTTCAACCCTGTAACTTGTCCGTGAGGGTAGTTACTGGGTAATTTAGAATTTGGGCGCTTTTCCACCTATTTCTCTCCTTCGGTGATATTTTAAAATTTTGGAAATAATCTGGCTTATTTCGAACATCAAGCCGCATATTATAGAATTTTTTCAGATTTTTAGGTTGCAAGCTGTGGTTGTCAAAAATGGAAAACCAAAAAAAAAATCGAAAAATTGCAGATATCTCGAAAACAAAAATGCTATGCCAGCCTGATATTAATTTCCTGATAAGGTACTGTCACAAGCAATGCGTTCAATTTTTCTCAAATTTTTCGTAGAAGTACGACATCGTAAAAAAAAAATCAAAATATTTGTCGACGTTCTTGCTCTGAGGAAGAAAGTTGGGTTAACTTGTTGGGTTAACAAGTAGTAAAGTAAAAATATTTAAAAAGATATTTTTAAAACATTACAATTACAATTTTTTAAACATTGCGATAGTACTTTATCAGAGAATTAATTTCAGGGTGGCATAGTAATTTTGTTTTCAAGATGTCTTCAATTTTCCGATTTTTTTCTTTTGGTTTTGCATTTTTTATAACCACAACTTGCAACCTAAAAATCTGAAAAAATTTTATAATAAGCGGCTTGATGTCCGAAATAAGTCACATTTTTTTCAAAATTTTAAAAAGTCACCGAAAGAGAGGAATGAGCGGAAAGAAGTCCAAATCTAATTTATCCTGTAACTACTCTCACGGGCAAGTTACAGGGTTGAAATCTTACACAGATGAGTTTTTCTTGGTCAGCTATCGAACGGTATAATACTCATTAAAAAACCTCTAAGGGCAATTTTGACTATCTTAATCGGCAAGGCCCTTTTTATTTGTAGTGTGTGAAATATAATTTATTGTATATATTATATATTTAGATGATATTCTTTACCTTTTTAAATTCAAAATCGTTTTTGTCCTATTGGTAGAATTACGTTTTCAATAACCATTCTGTCACGGATTAATATTTATTATATTTCCGGTAAATATAATTGAATATACAGAGTGTCCCAAAAATGTCTCCAAATCTAGAAATAGAGGGTTCCCGAGGTCATTCGAAGCAACTTTTTCCTTAGCGCAAATGTTCTACGATGCTTTGTTAACGAGTTATTCACGAAAAACACTGATTAATAAAAGACGTGCTCGGCTAACGCTAAGCGGATGAGCCAATGAGTGGACGGAGCACAGTTCCGTTTATTGGCTCAGCTGTCTCGCGCCGTCTGAGCTCGCCTCTCATTGGTTACTGTCTTTCGTTAATAACTCGTAAACGAAGCCGCGGATAGCATTTGCACAAAGAAAAAAAATTTGCCATTTCTTCTAATCATTATTCATTTTCAGTACATTTTGTTTTCTAAAATTTTGTATGTGTTTTTCTAAAATATACAACTAATTAATCTTGTAAGTTTTCCTTTTTTTCTCGTTTTGATGTAAGATTTTATACAGTATACCTCTATATATGTCGAAATGAGACCTTTTTGACCGTCACAGAACGTAGGTAATTTGTCATCCTATAACTTATGGAACCATATATTGGTTGCAGGCAACAGCAACAACAGATAATTCCTCTACAAGTTTGTCATTAGCAATAAAACTTCTAACTAAAAAAACTTCCTTAATTGGCAGCATTGGACAAGATAAGAGAGAATTACCGAAACCTGCAAAATCAAAGAAGGATAATAATATGCCTCACTTCTCGATAATATTTCACAAAACAAAAAATTGTACTCTTACCATATACAAGAGTAAGCATAATTATTTTTAAAATTATTGTTATTATGTTATTATTTTTATTCAGTTTATATTCAATTTTCGCTCATAAAATAGGAAAATATATAAAAACGTAAAAATTGCTACGTCTTTTCTTAGATAACTTGTCAATTTAAAAAGCAAGTCATTTTGACCTCTATGGTAGAAATAGATATACGTCAATCATCGGTAGTTCTAATGTTAATAACTACGCAAACATACATGTTAAAGAAGCAACACCTGCATGAGGCTGTAGTTTAGACCTATCTTAAAAGCTCACATAAGCAACAATCTGTATATAAGGTATTCAAAATTATTGTACAAACAAGAAATGAGGGGTTCCTGAGGTCATTTTAAGTAACTTTTTCCTTATCGCAAATGCAATTCGCGGCTTCGTTTACGAGTTACCAACGAAAAACAGGGAGGGGCGAGATTAGCTGGTGCGAGATGGCCGAGCCAACGAGCTGTCGAAGCTCAGTTCCGCTGATTGGCTCGGCCGCCTAGCGCTAGCTGAGCTAGCCTTTCATTGGCTAGGATTTTTCGTTAATAACTCGTAAACAAAGCCGTGAATTGCATTTTCGCTAAGAAAAAAGTTACTTCAAATGACCTCAGGAATCATCACCCCTTTCCGGGTGTTAACATAATTATGGGACACCCTGTATAATGACACTTTCCAATTTTGTTGCTAGTTCAAGAGCTTTAAAAAGATTTGCTGGCTGCGTAAATTCAGATCGTGTATAAAAACTACCTCGTAAATAATGTTATAATTTATGCGTAAAAAGGTGCCACGTAAATTGAGGGTAAATCAAGTGTTTAACAAAAGAAATGAGAACCTAACCAACGTAATTCAATCTCGCGGCGTTTACATCGCTAGCATATATTTTTTTTCGCGAACAACTCGAACACTAGAAAGGTTCCAAAATTTTGTAAGGCGAATCTTCAGAATCTTTATTTTGTCAAGATATTAAAAAATATCGAAACAGAAGTGGATTTATCTCGTCGATAAATTTATCAAATTTTTTTTTTATTACTAACTGTTTAATAACAAATGGGCAAAGTGAAGGTTATCGGAAGGTGCTTCCCTATTATATATAAATTCTTAATAAAATATTTCATTATATTTCTTTCCTTATTAATGTTATAAATATACAACCTTTCACTTGATCATCATTCGTCGTTGTTTGATTATTTACAATATTAACAATTTTGTAGTCACTCGAAAAATATTGTTACATCTATCACGGATGATCCCTATAACTTGAGAAAACGTGTGTTACAAATTTTGTCTATTATATTTTTGGAATTTGTATACACAAATTTAGTAAAATTACTATTTCCAGAAGAGAGTTTTTCAAACTAAAAAAGTGATATAAAAAGTCTCATATACGACAAAAATGGTTTCAACTGTAGTTATTATTTAAAAACATAAAGATAAATTAAATAAATAAAATTACGCATAGTGGAAAAACAGGATTTTTAAAGAATATTCTTTTATAATTAGTACGTCGATATTGATTTTTGAGATGTTACAGCAATATTGTGCAAGAATTTTTAAAGAAAATCAAGTGTGGATAATTTTATAGACATTTTATACACGAACATTTAACGACATGAAATGTCAAACTTCTGTATATTGTTACATGTTTGTTCCATCATATCTGTAATAATATTGAATGTTGTGTTACTGAAGAGTGGCTTTAATAAAGATCAATGTACGAAACAGGTATACTCCGAAGCACGAAAATGCCTGACGCTCTTATCAACGAGACTTGAAGATTCGAAGCACTACTTTTTTGGAGAAAAGCCAACTCTAATGGATGCAATTTTATATTCTTATTTGGCGCCGCTGCTCAAAATTAAACTACCAAATGCAGCCTTGCAAAACCACTTGAAGGCCTGTACGAATTTAGAGAAATATGTGTCGCGTATATCGCAAAAGTACTTCGAGAAGGACTATCAAGAGTACGAGCAACGAAAAGCTGAAGAGAATGCACACAAAGTGAGAAGAGATTCGGAAACTGATTTTCCTAATAAAAGGAGAAATCAATTTTTCGCTGGAATTTTTGCGACCTTGGCAATGGCAGCTTATGCTATTTCAACTGGGATAGTTCAGGTAAATACCCTTTTTAATAAATCATCTCGAAGTTACAATTTAAAACATCTCGATTAATGCAATTTTCATAGAATATAGACCACTGAAAAAGATGATACATATAGTCTAGATTCCAGAATTAAGTCTCTTTTGCCGGCCGATTTTCGGAAGCACCACCTTTTGTCTTCCTCGGCGCATCTACGCGGTGTATACACGATGAGCCAAAAATGTCTCGTAATCTGGAAATGCGCGGTTCCTGAGGTCATTTGAAATAACTTTTTCCTCAGCGAAAATGCAATCCGCGACTTTGTTTACGAGTTATTACTGACCAATAGGAGGCGAGCTCGGCTGACGTAGCAGCTGAACCAATGAGCGCACGAACCCCAGTTCCGCTTATTGGCTCGGCCGTCTCGCGCGAGGGAGTTCCACGCCTGCGTCACCACCACATTCGTGACTGCTCCGGCTATGATCACTATCGTCGCCGCGGAAAGCGATACACGCCAAAAGAGTCAGGAGGCGGTGATTCTGAAAATCGGCCGAAAATAGCACTTAATTTCCGAATCTAATGTAGTCCGTCCAACGAGATAACCGTAAATGTAAACAGGACGCCTGCCCGATGTTCACGTGATCGATGTTAGCAGCTGAAGCTATTGGCTGCTGAATGCCGAGCTCAGGGTCAATTTTAGGTGGTCCATTGTCGGGGGCTCTTGCTTGCAAAGTTTGGTGGAAAGCATAACATAATATCTGTGGTTGCAAAACAGAATGCCGCATATCACATGTTTTCACTTTTGAAATGTTGTCGCTTAAATTTCTGATCACTAATATTTTGTACTACTTGATTTTCCTTGTTCTTTTTTTGTCATTTTCTTAAGCCTAATGAATTTGTTTTCATAATTTCTGTCTGCTTAATATACAAATTCTATATTCTACAGTTCAATTAATATAAAGATTTTAACTTTTCTAAATTGTGACGCGCAATGTTTTTCCTTATAGCCAAAGATATAAGAGGTCGGAATATTGTGAGCTGGTCCTATGTCGAGCACGTTTACATTTAGTGACTCATCTCGTTCGACGGAGTAGCACATATTCTCTATTTCAGACTATCCTCGTTCACCACCGATTATTATCATTCGTTGCATTAAATGAAATCTTTCGTTTTTTCTTAACGTTTGTTTTGATTTGTTATTGGGTTACTAAATCACGACGCATCGTGGTCCAGATCTGTAAAAATGCTCACTAAATTTACACCACTGTTATTTCTATGTTACAGTAGAGTGAATACCCCGTTATGTGAACATTCCATTATATGACCAGCGTGCTTTCTGTTACAATTCTATGTGTTTACATATTATTTTTGTTGCGTGAAATTTATTTATAATGGTTTAGTACGAAATTAACTGCACTTATATTTACATCGTCAGAAAGTTTAATTTTAGCACGAACACGCTGAATATATGAATTGATTCAAAATAAATGTCAAGATTTTTCATGAACGTAATTCTCGCGGAATCGATTAATCGTTTGAGTCCCAGGGGTTATTCAGAAAACACGGTCGAAAAGTGCCGAATAGCATGATAGTGTTTGTCTTAATTGATTGCGAAGAGAACCAAGCGGCACGATAGCTGTCGTCAAGATTGACAAACAAAACAAATAGAAAGAAAGAAGAAAAGGAAAGCAGCTATGCGATGTACGTGCGTCACTAAAGTTTGATTGCGACACAAGGTCTGAACAGCGCCATCACGTTGCTTGGGACTTAAACGGTTAATAAATACCGTTTGAATCATTCTTAAATTGTATTAACCTTTTGTCCTAGAGCTTACCATATCAATTTTATTCAAAATCTACTGATCTAACATCCACATATTGCTAGATAATTTTACTGACGAGTTCTTTAGCAGGTCCAGGATAAAACATTTTTTTTCTCACCACTCCTCTATAATTCACAGAGTCGCCAAAAAGAGAAAGATATATTTTATATTTTAATATAGGAAGGTTGCAAATATTTTATTGTCGATGATTGGGAAAGCACACAGTTTCACACATTGTATTGTATACAGTGGCACTCATTACTTAAGACCACCTGAAAAACGGTCTACTTTTTAAAACTGAGCTAAATGACTCAAATTTTTGTTATAGGCTCAGATAAAAAGTTAAAAAACGAGTATTTTTTGTCTTTTTTTTCATTTTAAATAATCGCAAAATTAAAAAATAAGGCATTTATGTTAGAGCGGGTATCCATCTGAGAGTAAAACTCTCGATAGTTGCTTTATAGCAGAGCTGTTCAACATTTTGCTCATGCGGGCAGCGATTTTCAGCTCAGAGCAAACACCAATCGGCGGGTTCTAGGCCCCACTCCCGAGGGCCCCTTTCTTAGTTCCTTGTGAGACCCCCCACCTGTAACAATATGTTATTGGTTGAAGACGGTGACAGAAATCGACTGTAGATTACGTCGAGATTGAGTGAAATAGAACGAGCATCGGACGATCGTCATAGATCCTAGTGACATAGATACTAACCACATGGCTTTGCCGCGTAGCATTGCCCCTAGCCTGTTGCTTTGCCTCTGCCCGCCGCGAGGCCCGTTGTCGCTCTGCTCTACAATCTCGTATCTGCGGGCCACAAGCTTCACTACTACTACTCCATGCACATTGATACACACAACATGGCAGCCCCGCGTGAAGCACAGAAGAAACAATGTCGTATCGTTTCACGTGTCGCGCGAGTGTGCGAGGGACGCTAAAGGAGCATAGTGGTGACGGAGAGCTGTAAGAGTGGGAAAGAGCTCATGTCAGTGACTGACTAATAAGCTAGTCCTTCTGCTATATAAAAAAGTTCAAGTCATTTAGTTCAGTTTTAAAAAAGCTATACCGTTTTCCAAGTGGTTCTAAGTGTACGACTACAACTGCATGTTTCCATAAAACAATAATTTAAAAGATATTCGAGTATATCGATTTTATCAGCATTTAATCATTTATATTAATGTTTGAAGGCACGGGGGCACGTTTTCCTGTTATTTAATCGACCTCAACTTTTACACAGATTTCTTTTCATTAAGTGGATAATTTCATTAATTTAATTCTGGAGGTGCAGCAGAAAAAAATTAAATTTTGAGAGTAAAAGCTAGTGTGAATCACACGAATCCATGTGATAAGATCCTAGTACAGTAGTCTTTCTGTGATCTTATAATCATAATTATGTATCGTGCTTGGTGTCAGTTTAGTCAGAAAATCGAGGTGAATATGATGGTAAAAGTATCATAAAGAAGAATAAAAAATGGAAAACGTTTTAATCTTCAGCTTTGCTTGCATTAGTGCGAGACTCGCCGATATACAGTGATTAATGGAAATATTCAAACACTAGTATAGCTTTGACTTCTATGCGATATATACAGGGTGTCCCAAAAATGTCTCACATTGCGGAAATGTAGGGTAGCTGAGGTCATTCTAAGTAACTTTTTCCTTTGCGAAAATGCAATCTGCGGCTTTGTTTACGAGTTATTAACGAAAAACACCGACCAATGAGAGGCGATGATGCGAACCACAACGTGGTCGATCGATCGAGCGCCACGTGCTCGTACCGCTGAGTTTGACAGCTGAAGGGGTACTCTGTGCCGCGTTCGAATCAATGAACAAGTCACGGAGCATGAACTTTCGATATTTTTTTTACCACGTAACAGTAATAATTTTAAGAAAAACGCGGTTCATCCTTATTTCAGAATGTCTGAAGAATATTTACTAATTTTTCGGACCCGAAATAATAAGTAGTTTAATCGTGACAGCCGTTTTAATTTTCTGGTGTGCACGACACCCCATGGTGTACATAGAAGATTAACAAAGTTCGTAAATGATATTTTAATTTAAATAATTCCGTGTCCGAACAGAATTCAACGAATGATTCGCAAAGCTGATTTAATAATAAATAATCGCGTTAAGGTACATAAAGGATTTGTTTATTAGAGAAATATGAAAAATATTATCGATAAGGAACTCACCCATTTAATTGAGGATGCATTTGCTGACTCGTACGCGCTGACCTCGTAAAACGAACAGCTGATCCCAGATCGATGACCTCAACATTCGAGGGATACTGTCGGAGGAACCTCTGGTATGGTTATTTGCGAAGTTCACTTACACTGCACTGTTACCAAACACTGATCACTTAATTAATCACTGATAACACTGTCCGACACGATTTTTGAGTTCCTATAGCTCTACAGAAATTCTTGTAGAGCTTCACTCCCTGAACAAGAATCCGAAAACCGAATTGCTCCATTACCCTCAGTTTTTTAAATGAACGAACTTTTGTAAAAACCCAAAATTTTCGACAAAAATGAGGTATTGCATGAAAAGTTCAAACGTAAGAAAGTTCTAATTGGTGTTAAAAGATAGAGGAGAGTTTCCCGAAAATAGTGGCATTCAATTTATTAATTGTTTTTGGTCCTAAATAGTAATAAATTGATGTAAAAGTTTAAAAAAGTGTCGACGTGAGCAGTTTCACCGCAATAGTTTTGTATTTTTACGAAAAGTTTTTTGTTCGGCACGAAAACTCTACCCAGGATCGGATTCTGTAGACATTTCTGAAGAAGAAACGGCCCGGTAAAAGTGTCGGAACGTTATACATTTCGAGTAGATCGAGAAAATGTTCGACGGCAACATGTACACGATGTTTTGCCGTCATGAGCTTCGCTGCTCGCTTCTCTCTGTCCGACAGGGTCGAAGCTACGCGTAATAAACACCGATGGAGGAATCCAATGGGGCACCCACTTTTCGTAAATAATATTTGAATTTTTTTTAGTACTTCAATGTTCTGTTTTTTTACACATTTCTGTGGATAATAACCACCAAACTGTGATATATTTCACACAAAAAATCACACCAGAGTATTTGGAGTTGGTAACGAAAGTATTCTAACACTAGTATAATTTTGACTTCTACGCCATATAATTAAATAAATATTTAAATATATATTTAACGATATGTTTCAAGAAGTTTAACGTTTTGAAAATGATTATTTATTCATGATCGCGTATTATCGTTATAATATAAATAATAACTGTATACATGATATACTTGTAATTCGAACAAATTCAGAATAAAATGATTATTTTTTGTTCATTATTTTTCTTTTATTATTTCTCCATTTTTAATTTATGATTCACAGTTTGATGATTATTATCCATAAAAACATGTAAAAGAAGACAGCACATTGAAGTACTAAAAAAAATGGCACGTCCCACAC